GCAACTGCCTTGGTATGTCAGACAAGATGCGTGCTCCTGTCAACCCTGTTCCCTCAGCACTTTCAGGTTCTTCTTAAAAGACCAGAGTGCTTTTCTCCCATATAAAGTACCAGAGGAATGGATTAGCAGATTTTAAAGGCTAGGGAGGTCTAATCTTCTACAGAACACCTACTTCAGAGTTACCCCCAGCACATCTTGAGGAAACACATGCAGTTCAGCCTCTAAACAAGTAGCTAAGGAGAGGCTCAATAAAAATGTGCTATTTGCTACAGAAACCTGATGGAAAAGACATTTGCTGTGCTGAGAAAACAGAGTGGGGCATTGAAGTCAAGCATGATATGTAATAAATATACTTTTAATATTAAACAATATTTGAAAATAATAGCTAACAGAACACTCTTTGATTGCATTTTGATTTTCAGTACTGGATTGCTGGAAAGGAAAACTGGTTTCCTATTGCTGTCCCAAAGCTGTGGCCATAAAAATAAAGTTTACTGCAAAATATTATATTCCTATTTCTCTTACAGTTTCAGGTTGTGTCATTAAAGTTACTCGTATGCAATACATAAACACCTTCTCTACACTAAGATATCTTTAATTCTCTTCCTTCAGAAATCTCTTTCCCCCTCCCTCCTCCCCTCAACACAGGACGTTACTGCATGGATAGGGCTAAATTTTGGTATCTCCTATGACAGCTGCAAGATTTAACACTGGAGACTCTTTGAAGGGGAGGCGATGAGCAGTCTCTCTGCTCTGTGCTGCCAAAACCTCACATGTTTATTCTTAAAGAAAAATGGATTTGAAAACAGTCATGACTGGAAAGATGAAACACCTCTCCTGCTCCTTCAGCTTCTCTCAGCACTGCCTTCACCAAGTCCCCAGCACGCTCCATGGCTCCCTTTTCCCTACCCTTAAATTGCCACCTGTACTTTTAGGTTAACAACATTCATACTCCTACGAATAAGTCCAGGGCAACCAGTAAAAGGACTATTTGTAGCAATACTAGCACACACCATTGCAGCTGTTTCTACAAACTACCTTGTAATGTCTGCCCTAGAAAGTTTAATCTGCAGTTTGCTTCTCTAGGTCCAGCCTTTGATACTACTGTCCCCTCTTGTGATGCATGTTCTCACTGGCAGAGGTGGCATAAGGAAGAGGCAACGAGTCCCACAGGCAGGTTTCCAGCCACAGCACTGGAAGACACCCATAACCATTCTAGGTAGGCGTTTCTATATTGGCAAGGAGCTAGTTTTTCTTGAGGAGATTTTGCTCAGGTTACAGAGAATATTTAGCTCAAGACGAGTCACAAAACTGCAGAAAAGTTGGTTGGAAGGGATCTCTAGAGGTCATACATTGTCATCCTCCTTGACGCAGGACTATTGCCAACAACAGATAAGGTCAGCTGAGACCTTATCTAGCCAAGTCCTGAAACTCCAGATGGCAGCGCACACCATCTCTGCACACCTCATTCCCATGCTGCACAAACTGCCTACACGAGGAAGTTTTTACAAATCTCTGGTCTGAACCTACCAAACCACAGTCCATGACTCTTGCCCCACATGCCATCCGCCACAAGCAGGAAGAGTCTGGCTCCACCATCCCTCAATCCCTACTTCTTAGTTGGCATGGGTTTACATGCAAACTGATGCTAACAAAGGTGGACAAGCCTTAAAGAGATTCATCTGTTAACTGAAAACAAACCTTTTTCCTTCCAGAATAAATGCATTCTAACTCTTCTTCACCCCAGCACAGCATGCTACCCTGGTCTTCAGCCCAAGTCTCCAAGGACACCTTTCGCTATAACAAAAGTATTCAGGCAAACAGATTACAGGTATTACCACCACGTCCCACCCTCCCAAATCTTTGCAAAACCTTCCAGATAGAGTTAGAAGGCTTTATTTTTTTTTGTCATTGCCCACTTTCAAGCAGTACTACCCTACCCTCTTCTCCAGCTTCACAGTGGAGGGTTTCAACTTGCCCAGTAGCATTGTTTCCACGTGCAGCAGCACCTTAACATCAGGATATAACAAGACAAACCCAATCATATCTGGTCAGAAGGACAGTGATGTTTTTAAGTTACACATGCAGATTTGCTCGGTTCGAGTACTTTGGATAAATGGCCATATATTCGGTCATTTCCTAGACCGAGTGTTGACATTCCAGGCTATTTGTTATTTATCCAAGTGCAGTGCTCCCAATTTGAGGGCACACAAGTTTTCAGAAGAGAAGGAGGATCCCAAGAAAAGCAAAAGCAGAGCAGACCCCATTAGCTCTTGCCAGCATGGGCTGGTTTTCCTATTAGTCACTTGGTATGCAGATTTGGCATCCTCAAAGCTGGGTGCAGTCTTTTAACTGGGTAATTCTAGTGATTCAAATGCATCCCAGGTGAACTTTAAATTGGAGTAGCTTGTGCAGTTTCTGAGCTAGCAAGAGTGACCTCAGCAAGCAATTCTCTTGATGATAATGTAATCTGAGCTAACTTCCTAGGCACACAAACGCTCAAACCAGCACACCTTTGAAAGCATATTATATATAGTGACAGACAAAACTATACCTTACAATATATAGCTCTCTACACAGCTTTTAGTGCTAACATGCTACAAATTCATGAAAAGTGTGTAAGAACAGCCAGATCAAGCTTGGTCCATCTAGCAGAGAGCCCTGTATGCAGCCATGTCTACAAGCTAGAGGCCTATGGAAGAACAAGGCAAGCGCAGCGTTATTTTACCGATATATTTCCGCAGATTCCAGCATTCATATTTGCCATTTCTCTACCATGTAAACCCTCAGCATTTATAACATCCTCAACAGTAAAATCCACAAATCAATCACGTGCTTTATGGAAACATACTTCCTTGTTTGTTCTTTTCATTGCTCTGAATAGTTGACTACGATTAGCAAACTTTATTACCTTGCTATTCATTTCTAGCAGATTAGATTCCCTGATCATTTATGAATACACTGAATACCCCTGGCCCCAGCACATGCACTTGTGGAGTTTTGTCCGCCAGTAAAACAAACTATTTACTCCTCCTCTCTGTTGACTACCTTTTAATGAGGTAGTAATGCTCAGGCACCATTCCTCTCAGACCTGGGCTTTCTTTGTGAACCTTTGGTGAGAAATCTTAATAAAAACCTTTTGCAAGCACAGGTAGATGATCTTAACTGGATCACCCTATCCGCTTGTCCACTGATATCTTCAAAGAGCTGCAGTAAATCTGAGAGACAGCACTTACTGCTGCTTTCCCGCAAACATCCTGTTTATTTCAGTTGAACGTATCTGTGTGTCATTATTTGCATTCTTTCCAATAAGTGCACCTAATTTAGTCAGACATGATTATTTAGACAAAGGCATTACCATGATAAGTGCACTGAATTTAGTCAGACATGATTATTTAGACAAAGGCATTGCCATAATCTTGCTAACAATGAAGTCAATTGTTTACTGCAGATAGTAATAAACAAGTCACCTTTTTTCTCTTTCTACAAAAAAAAAAAATGCTTTGTACACAGACTTAGCATAAGCAGGAATAATGTGGAAAAATGCTGATAGGATTCTTTAGCACAAAATACATGGGGTTGGAAAACTGAACATATTCTTCAAGACAGGATCTTCTCTCACATCAGAATCCGCAGCATGTTTTTGTAGTTTCACATGCAATAATTACCAAAAAAAAAAAGTAAAAATATCTGTTTTCTTTAGAGATACTCACTGCGTTGTTTCTTAATAACTGAAACTTACACAGCCCTTTAGCTAAAGAAAACCCATTCTGTACAGGCTTGAAGGATTTGACAACATCCTGTTTATTTCAAACAGGACTTCAGAGTGTCACTGGATAAAGAAGATTGGAGAGCATTTGTTCAACATTTTGCTATACAAAAGTAGAAACTTTTGAATATCCTAAGCTTTTTTGACAGTTGTGGCTTTTAAATTGCCAAGATAACATAAATAACAGCCATAAAAATAAACAGTCTAATGCTCCAATCACAAATACAGCTCTTACTCCTGTGATTACTATATACTGACTGACAAATTTTTAGACTTGTCCCTTGCTTTTTATTGATTATTCCTCAACTGCAGGGCAAAATCCCTCACTGGCTTCCCTAGTCCGCACAGACATGTCTCCAGCTCCCAACAGATTTTGCTCACCACAAAGATCGAGCAAAAGGTCAAAAATCCAGACTAATCCAAGTCAAAGCTTGGACTCTGCAACCTGAGACCTAAGCCTGCTCCGAGCCAACCCCCTGAAACATTCCTGTGGACTTCAGTCGTGTCTGAAGAAGTCCGTAACTTCTCAGACTTGACTCTGGTTCAGTTTAATCTCCAAGTACAGTTACAGAATGCTGCAGACTTATGTGAAATATGTATATATCTCCTGACGGTTAAGTCTTCCGCCCCCCCCCCGAAGCAGGGGAGTCTTCCACTCTCTTTCCTGACCTGAAAGCAAAGCATTTCACAGAAAGCACCTCCATCAAACAGCAAAACCTCTAGCACACAATTAAATAACTCGCATCAGCACTTCCATCTTTAAAAATGTGCTAAAAATGCTGAAAAAAAAGGAAACACAAGTGATGTGTAAAGTTCACCTTTAGCCTGATTTATCCCTACATTGAATAACTACATCCTGGCAAAACAATAGGCATTTTCCTAGGATCACCAGTCACAAGGGACAGAACATAAACTTCACCTCTGGTCTATTTGGTGAGGTTTATTATCCCAGAAGAAAGTGAAATCAAATGCCTCTCCCCAAGTTACTAACAAGAAGAATCTGACAAAGGAGAGCAGTATTTCAGGAGAATTAGCAAAACTACACAAGTTCAGATTCTGTGTACATCCTGAGACCTTTCTGCACTGAAGCTGATATAATTGTCATCATCCTTCTAGTCTGGATATAAAATATCTGTGTTTGTATTTTGATTTTTCAATGCCATCTTACATAAAATGAATGGCATACTAGTATGTAAGAAAGAAAAAGAAAAAAAAAAGTTCATCTACTCACCTAGACAGTAATAATTTACCCTGAAGTTTCAAATCAGCAGCACAGTCATCAGATTGACAGTTCCTCTCAAAAACAGTCTGTGAAAAGCAAAGAAAAAGAACTGTTACAGCATGAAAAGAGTAAGATCAAAATTCAAAGGAGGAACATGCTTGGATGAAAAAAGAAACAAACCACAAAACCAACACCAAAATCTGTGACACAGGAATATACGGTGTGAGTATTAAGGAAATACAAGGGCAGGCAAATCTCATCTTTATCAGAACCGTTTTTATTCCCTTCTAACTGAACAAGAAGTTTCACCAAAAACAGACTCTCTCAGAGGTTTTCCTCAATCCATTCCCACTTCTCATCTGTCAAGAATTACTGCTTGCACAATATTTCTGGCACTCTTACTTCTCTTCCTAACACATGTGCATGAAAATGAAACAGAAAATAAAGTATTTATGAAACTATTTTTAGTCCTAAGAATTGCAAGTAAGGAAATCATGCACCAAACATATTCACAAGCCTATATTAAAGATAAGGAATGAAACCTTTTTTTTTTTTAACAAGATTTTGTGTATGTAGGAAACACTTTTGCTGTCCTCTAAGCAACAGAAATTTACAAAGACTGTTATGCACAAGTGATACCCTCAAACAATGGAACCACTGTCTATCTTGTGAACTGTGGTAAAGACTATCATTTGGGAAATTTAACAGATCGGTAAAACCAGGAACTACAAAAGGACAACGTACCACTAGACAAGGGCATGCTATTTAAGCAGCAAAAAGAAGGAGAATACGTGAGAAGTCTAGGAGCCTACGCAAACCTCTATGGCAGTTTGCCATAGCTGAATGAGGCAGCCACCAGTGAGTGAAAGAAGAGGACAGGAACATGTTCCTGGCCTCCAGGAAACCTTAAGAGTGTCAAGATCATGGTTACTTCCCCCTGCTGTTGAGAGCAACAGATGACTAAACTTTTCAGGCTGGAGGATTCATTCTTTCAGAGTTGTAATGCTCTTCAGCTTACCAAATACTCAAAGGACAAATACCCAAAATGAGGGTTGCCAACACTGTTCAGTTAGGAAATCTGAGACTCCACTGGTCTCTTGCTTTAATATGAATATTCCTTTCTTCAGTCTTGGCTCCATGACTTTTATTACCAAAGTAAATATATATCAATCTTAAATGCAAAGATGGTGCAAATCTGTGCAGGACACAGATAATGGTCAGATAGGGTTGGAGAGACTCAGTGGAAGCAGAGCAGGGACAGAAAGAGTTAAGACATTTTTGAAGAGCTCTGCCCAACTCCATCAGCACTGGAGAAAGACTTTGAATCTTAAGCCCAGAGGGCCTGGAGATTTCTAGTCCCTGTCTTTCCAGGAAGACTCTTGGCTAAGGAGGCAACTTGCTCTCCTTTTTCGATATTGTCAGAGATCTCCAAAAAGGCACGGACCTTTATGAAGTTAATTGGTGTTGGACTAGCAGATATCAAACTATGTTGTTGGCTGTTCTGAGTTGCAAAACCAAGAAAAATGGGCGGTGGCCAATTCATTTGGGGTTATTTACTTTGCCCTTTCATTTTTCCTTTGCACCTTTCACTTTCTCAGAATCTCAGAAGTGGAAATTGTTGAGGATTTAAACGCAAGAGCTGAACTTACCCTTCCTCTTTAATAAAGACTACCACGCCAAAGGACAAGAATAGCCCTGAGACAGGAACCGGCACAGGGCATCCCTCTCAAAACATGGCACGTTTCAGAGGTATAGTCTCAAAAGTCCTCGGAATTAATCCTCAAGCACCGTAGTAGCTATATATATGAAAGACTATTTGACCTTCAGAGGAGAAAGAAAAATAAACTGTAAAAATATTATTGCCTGACAGTTTCCCTATTTGCATTGCAGAAATCTTGGCAAAGCGAACAGAGCGATCAAAGATATGACCTGCACGTTTCAAAGAATAAAGTACTGTAAGTACATTTAAGTAACTACCTAATAATCCTGGAATTTTGTTACTAAATCTATAGTTGCCGTTCTTCAGAAAGAATGAACAAATACCTCATTTTCTAAAACTACTGAACATGTATCTATTCCAATATATCATGTACTAGATGGCAAGCTGCTTTGAAATACATTTGGAGTATTTCATTATGCCATGGAAGCCCAAGGTCCTATGGGACTGGGATGGGAGAACGAAATAAGGATGTTGAGTCCCCAGATCCGTAACTGTAAGAGTAAACCCATTGCTTCTGTGGAGGATCTTGAGCCCATTCAGGTTTAGGGGGAGAAAGGATTTCCAGTCCAGCCAGCTGCTAGGACCCATTGATGCAGCCACAGCTGGGTCAGCAGCCCACTTCCATTGTAGGCTAATGTCATCTACAGATTATTTTGCTATTTTCCGCTATTTCCCTGGTCTGGATAGATGTTGCTATGACTCTACTCCACCTCCCCTTTTTGTGTGCCTGCTAGAGCCTCAACCCCATAGTTTCTCACAGCCAATCTACTTCCTTCCTTATATTCTTTGCTGTCTTGAGCTTCCTCTTCCCCAGCCTGTTGCTTCTTCTACCTTTCCAGTTGACTAACTCCTGCCTGTTCCAATCCCTCCTAAAGAACTAAGGATTAAACACACTGTAAGTCATCATAACATTTGTGAACACTACTTATATATTCTGTTACTTTGACCTTACTCGGTCTACTTGGGCTGTGATTTCTTTGGGACGGAAACTGTGCCTAACTCAACACTTCATGTTGTTACAGCAGGAGTCCCTTTCTGGGACATGCACAGATCCTACTACAATATAATCACTAATTTTAAATCTAAGCAATTTTAAAAGTCTTTTTAGCTTTACAATACCAGTTTTAGGGATTTATAGAGGTCTTTACGTATTGAAAGTGTTGAACAGGGTAACCAATGGGCTGTATGCATTATTGAGAGCTGGAAAAAGGGAAGTAGGACAAAAAAAAATTCACTGCACTGTGGAAATACTTCATGATTTTTGCAGTTACTGTTACCTAAAGTGAAGAGGAGCAATTCTGAACAGTGGTTTTACCAAAGTTCAGTTGATTCTTACTGGATTTCACTTACATTGTACCAAGTACCTCACAGCTTTGAATACGTGTATCAGAGATTGTCAGGAAGCTACTTTACTTAAGAAATACCAACAAGAAAAATGTCAAATTGGGAGAAGGGGCAAAAATTGTCCTGAATGAGAAACACAGCTGCATCTCTTATCTCAAGGCTACCACACTTTTGTCTGGCATTTCCAGGAGAGAAGAAGGTGTTTGTGCGCTCAGTAGCAGGGACAGGATAACCTCAGTGTTTCTAGGACACATCTTTACCATACAAACACAAAGCTAATGTAAAGTGCATGCACAGTGAGTCTGTCAGACTTCCTGCAATCACTAGAACTACAGCAAAGCACAGAGCAAATCCAGCATTTCCAGGGTCAATGATTCCTCTCTGCACTCTCCCCTGCTGCACAGAACACAGCACCTACGGGAAATTGCTTCGTACCAGTTCCCACCAGGCCATCAAACATCCTGGGCAACTGCGGTTTCCTCAAATTCTGCCTGGCAACCCTTCTGGGTAGAAAAGATGCTCCTTCTTAAGAGGCCAAGGAACGAAAGGTTAGCAGAGATGGATGTTGCCCGTGTCTTCCAGAGGTTAAGTCAAAAAACCCTGCATTAATACATATTCATCATAAAGAGTTAATGGACACATCTCTACACAATTAAATGTACAGTAAGGAGAGACTTAGAGTCAGCTGATAATGAAGATGATGTGTCTAGGCAGGCACTCGGATCAGGGCCTCAAAGCAAGTACCTTTGCGTCCACTCTGCCTCTTGAAGAGAGGTAGTGGATTAAATTCCATATTTTGTGATAAAGGCCAGGGGTAAACGTACAGTCCTCTGTTGCAGAAAGTAAGAGGAGGATGAATGCCTAGTTCCTGCATCCTAAGGCATCCTAAGCACAAAGCTGCTGGACAGTGGGGGTGAAGATATTCTCTTTTTCCTTCCTGCTAGGTAGACTGCTAAGGAATGCTGCCAGGATATAAAACATGCAAGAAGGAGACTGGCTTCAGCCTAATGGTCACAGTGCTCTGCTCAGAGGAAGAAGATCTGGGATTTCAAACCTGGTTTGCTAAATTGCTTCACTTTCTTTCAATGGTCATCTAAAATTAAACACATTTATGTTTCTAGGAGTAGGGGAGATAACAGGAAACAGAAAACCAAAAAAACGTGTGTTTATGGCACTCCTGCCCACAGAAAATAAGGGAAATCATCCAATAAACAAAGAAAAAGAAGTATTTCAAGACACTCCACCTCTCAAAATTCAGGGAAGCACATGGAAATTTCAGGTTGTAGCCAAAATATGCAATCAAGACTTTGAGACATTGCCAGTACTGTGTTCCAGTAAGAGTTGTGCCCATCCTTTCACAGAAAAGAAATGACAGGTGAAGGACAACACTTGAAGAGAAGGGGGAGAAACAGGATTCTCAAAAGAAGCCCTGAAAGCATGTCCTTTTATGCTCTGGATAAGAGAATAGTGATTTGCTCTGGATCAGGTGTTTAACTTCTTCCTCACACATCAGGCCACAAAAAGTTGACAGTGCACCTCTTAAAAGGTGGCAGAGTTGGCCTTCAGGAACCAAGGATCCATTCCTTTAACTTCATAAATT